GAGCTCGTGCCCTCGCGCGCATGTGTGACGTTCGCGACCTCGGCGTCGACTTCTGCGCCTGCGGGGCCTCTTGGCGGAAACGAACGCGGCTCCAGTTTTGCCGCCTCGACCTGGGTGGCCTCGAAAGGGGCCCGCTGCCGAGGTCGAGGATGGCGTTCGTTTTTGAAGTGCCGTCGCAGCGTGCTCGAGGGGAACAATTCGCTTGTGCGTTTTTTGACCCATATCGCCGAACCACGTCCTACCGGCCACTGCGCAGAGCTAGCTCGAGCTAAGAAGCAAGCGTTGTGGAATCAGGTATTGCTTTCAAAAGATAGGTTCATGGTCTGAAAGGCCAGGGGAACATTTCGCAATCGTTTAAGTGCATGCTCACTGGTTCGGTGTTGCGATTGCCTCGAGGGCCGCGGCTCTCCGAGACATCTGCATGTAGATGCGAGCGGCCCTGGGCCGCAATCATGCAGATATGCAGCGCCTTTGCCTCTGGAGGAAAAGAGCTGAATATCAGGGGGGCTGTCGCCCAGAGGTCCGCCCAGCATCGACTGCGCTGGCGCGCCTGGTGTTCTCTGCGAGCAAGGGCGGGAGGGCGCCAGCGCCGCCGTGTTCGCGTTTGTGCTCGAGCTTGCCACCCTCAGTTGCACTGGTATCCCGCCCATCCTTTTTAAAAATTGCAGAGATTCTGCGATTGCCTCGAGGGCCGCGGCCCCGACGCATCTGCATCTGGATGCTAGCGGCCCCGGGCCGCAATCACGCAGATACGCAGCGTTTCCGCCTGCTGAGGAAACGAGCTGAATATCAGCAGGGCTGGCGCCCAGAAGTCCGCCGAGCATGGATCTGTATAGATGTGTATATATACGCATAAGTATATTCCTATGCATGCCCTACCTAGGCTCTGCCTAGAAGGGTTCTTACCCTCTTAGCTTAAAGGGGCCGGGCAGTGCAACTCGCCCCGGGCGGTTCGCCCGGCATCCGCCCCGCGGTTCCCCCAGTCCCTTGGGAAGTTTAGCTTTAGCTTTATATTTAGCTGCAGGTTAGCTTCAGCTTAGCTTTAGCTTAGCTTTAGCGTAGCTTTAGCTTTGCTTTAACTTAGCTTTAGCTTATATTCAACTTAGTTTTAGCTTTAGTTTAGCGTTAGTTTAGCTTTAGCTTAACTTTAGCTGTAGCTTAGCTTTAGCTTAGCTTTAGCTTAGCTTTTGCTTAGCTTCTGCCTAGCTTGAGCTTAGCTGTAGCTTAGCTTCAGCTTAGCTTTAGCTTAGCTTCAGCTTAGCTTTAGCTTAGCTTTAGCTTAGCTTCAGCTTAGCGTTAGCTAAGCGTTAGCTCAGCTTTAGCTTCGCTTTAGCTTCGCTTCAGCTTAGCGCTAGCTTAGATGCAGCTTAGCTTTAACTTAGCTTTAGCTTCGCTTTAGCTTAGCTTTAGCTTAACTTTAGCTTAGCTTGAGCTTAGCTTTAGCTTAGCTTCAGCTTAGTTTCGGCTTAGCTTCAGCTTAGCTTCAGCTTAGCTTTAGCTTAGCTTTAGCTTAGTCTTAGCTTAGCTTTTGCTTAGCTTCAGCTTAGCTTTAGCTTAGCTTTAGCTTAGCTTGAGCTGAGCTGAGCTTTAGTTTAACTTTAGCTTCGCTTTAGCTTGGCTTTAGCTTAGCCTTACTGCTACTACTAATGCTGTTTTCCTAGGGGCTCCAACTCCTAGGTAGGGTCGCACTGGGATAAAATATTTTTATAGGGCCGGGGACGCGGACCCCCCCCCAAAGAATTTTGCCCTCCCAAGGCCTCGGGGCAACCTTTCAGAAGACCCCGGATAACTTCACGAGAGCTCGAAGATGGCCGCAGACGGGTTCCAGGCGTTCCGATGCGCTCCCGAAACGACCCCTGGGAGCCCCAATGCGGTCCACGACGACCCCCAAGAAGCCGGCATACCCCCAAAGGTCGATCCAAAACGTCCCAAGGGGCTTCCAAGAGCAATCCCGGGAAGGCCCCAGAAGTGACAAATCATTGTTTTTTTCCAAATACGCTTGCGCTATAGGAGTCCGAGCTCAAGCCCTGCTAATTGGTCCGTTGCCTCCCCCCACATAATTCCTATGCCCCCCCTAATTCCTATGGCTATGCCTATGCCTATGCCTATGCCTCCCTCCTAACTCCTATGGTCACGCCTCTGCCTATGCCTGCCTGCTTGCTTGCGCGCTTCCACGCTTGCTTGTTTGCTTGATTGCTTGCTTGCTTGCGCGCTTGCTTGCGCGCTTGCTTGCGCGCTTGCTTGCTGAGTTTCGGATTCCAAGCATGTTTGATTCCTCTGATTCCTGATTTGAGTCGTCGAATCTATTTGGAGTCAACGCTGGCTGATATGCTTTTGGTTTTCGGTGAATTATGGGGTCCTCTTTTCGGCTTCCCGACGCCCCAAGACGGCGATCTTCTGGGCGTCCGAAGCCGCTTGGGGGCCCCCGAATCGCCCCACAACCATCCGAAAGGGCTTCCAGGCAGTCCAAGAGAGCCCCAAAACGGCACAACAGGGGTCCAAGATGACCTTAAGAGAGCCCCATGGCGGCCCAACATGGCCCCGAGACGCCCTCCGAAACATTCCAAATCGTGACCCCGTCGCTCAGGGAAATCGCGGTTGGAGGCAGGGTGGCCCGAGGAAACCCCCAGAGGCCCCCACAACACGCCCAGGAGGCCTCCAGAAGGCTTGAAGAAAACTTGGAAAACATGTTGTGCGGCCCCCAGAGGCTCTCCAAGGAGGGCCCCCCGCAAAAAGGGCTGAGGAGGATGGGGAGAATGCGCAGGGTATGGCGAGAATGAGGAAAAGGAAGCATCGAGGAAGGAAAACTAATAGCATTATTATAACGGCGATGCTGGAAAAGTCAACAAGGAGTTATCGCTAAATTGTCGGCTTGACCTTCCTGCCATTCCGCCTGCGCACCAAACTGCAAATACCGAGATGCATGGCGCGAAGCGTCACTGCAGTCTTGTGTATATACCTATATACCTGCATCTATAAGTATGCTCGTGCACTATACTGTATGTATATAATCATTTGTTTTTAGTGATGTGTGTCTGTACGCATGTATGTCAGTACGCCTGTCTGTATGTTATGTATGTATGTATCAGTGTATGTATGTATGTATGTCTGTATGTCTGTATGTAGGTATTTATTTATGTATGTATGTACGTGGCGTTCGCGTCTGCGTCAGCGTCTGCGCGACACGCGAAGCCTGCGTGTCAGTCATTCGGCGGCCTTGAGGCTTCAGACTGACGTGACACGCAGGATTTGCGTGTCACGTCTACGCGACACGTAAATCCTGCGTGTCACGTCACACGGAACGCGCTCGGGGCGGCGTCGCGTAAGTAAACGTGACACGCAAATCCTGCGTGTCACCCGGAACGCGTTCGGGGAGGCAGGGCGACGCGACACGCAGGATTTGCGTGTCGCGTAGACGTGACACGCAAATCCTGCGTGTCACACGGAACGGCGACAACGTTGTTGTTGCCGTTATTCTTCTGATCTTTTACGAGCGTAAGCAGAATCTGCGCCCTGACGCCTTGGAGAGTTGGGCGTAGCGCTTGAGCACATGCCTCCCCGTCGGCACCTCTCATTTGCAATTCGTGGCCGGAATTGGAAATGACCGGAATTACAAATGACCGGAATTACAAATGAGTGCTCTGTATGCATCGGAGGTTGGGGGGAGAGATCGAAGTGGAACGGAGAGCCCCCCTTCCGGGAAATCGATTTCGGTTTCGTGTTCGTGCGTGCCGTCCGTGCGGGCGAGGCGAAGCTGCGTGGGCGGGCGAGAGGAAAGTCTCCTGTGGCTGAGGCGCGGCCGGACCAAATGATTGTGCCCCGGGCGTCCGGTGGCCCGCGGTGTCCCGCCGGTGTCAGGAAAGTCTCTTGTGGCTGAGGCGCGGCGGGACCAAATGATTGTGCCCCGGGCGTCCGGTGGCCCGCGGTGTCCCGCCGGTGTCCCGATGATGATTATGATGATGGTGGTGATGATGATGATGGAGATGATGGTGATGATGATGATGATGATGATGATGATGATGATGACGGTGATGTTGATGATGATGATGATGATGGTGATGATGATGATGATGATGATGATGATGATGCTGATGATGATGATGATGTTGATGTTGTGGTTGGTGATGTTGATGTTGATGATGATGTTCATACTGAGACCGATTGTGAGATCGATTGTGTCATCCATTGTGATATGTTGGCCCATTGTTGGCCCCCTGTCCCCATTGTGATATGTTGGCCCATTGTGATATGTTGGCCCATTGTGTGAACAACAATCACCACTGTTGCCCATTGTTGGCCCCCACTCCCCCCCAACCTCCTTATCACCCGCAGGGTGGTCGTATAGGTATGTATTTGTATGTGTATGCATATGTGCGGAAAAGCAGGAGCTCCGATAGTGGGCGGCGCTGTTTCGTCACATGGCGCGCGGCGCTGTTAGATCGCAGCTCGCAGCGCCATGAGGCGCCGCGCAGCGCATGGCGATGTTCTGTGTCCATGCCGCATCCTCTCTTGACCTTTCTCTTGTCGGTGATGCAATCGGACGCTTGCTGCGCTCAGCGTAAGCCGCAGTTATGTAAGAACGCGCGTGGCGCTGATCTGTATTACGAATTCAGCGCGCGGCGCGTCCACTCCCGCTAATCATTTGTCAAGCTCTCCCTTCTTCGTATGTTTCTGCACGAGTCGTTCTGCTTCTTTCGTCTGCTCGTGCCTTCTTCGTATGTTTCTGCACGAGTCGTTCTGCTTCTTTCGTCTGCTCGTGGTCGCTTCTTGCCAACGATTTAACTTACAAGACATTGATGCCGCGATTGAGGACCATTTCACTGTGGCCCTTCGTTGTTGGACGAAGCGTTCAGGGGCACGCTATGTCCTTCAGCATTTGCTTGTGTATTGGGCGGTCTTATGTACAGTTGCTTCGTGTGTACATAGGGTACGTCCCCAGGTAATTTCGTCATGACGCGAGAAAGTCTGGGCCCCCCTCCTCTGGCGCCGCACGCCCGAAGGACGCGGTGGACAAGGTCTTCTCGGTGCTGCGCGAGTCTCCGCACCTGGTGCCGCTGGTGGTTGCAGAGGCCTCCTGCCCGCCAGCCTCCGGCACCGCCGCGCCGCTCTGGTGCCTGCAGGCCGGCCCGCGCGGCTGCACGCCCGCGTCCACGGTTTGGGGGCGGAATTTTCGTCGGAGGTTCGCGCCGCATTGACGCGACGGCGGCCCCGCCGCGGGCATTCAGCTCTGAACGCCAGCGACGGCCCAAAACCGGCCATCATGTAACGATCTGGCGATCGAAAAGCCACCGATCGTTCAAGGTTGAACGATCCGCGCGGTATGCCTGCAGGCTGGCCCGCACGGCGGCACGCCCGCGTCCACGGTTTGGGGGGGGGTGCGATCGGCACCGTTGGGGCTTGGTGGAGCACGGCGCTGTCCTCATCGGGCCTCGTCGGGGCGCTGCGGAGAGCTCTGTTGAGGTCCCCGCCCGCTCGCCAGGGTTTTCCCCAAGGTGCAGGTTGCAAGCCACACCCTTGGCAAACTACACCTTCGGAGTCTCCGAATTTTTCTCGGAGGAGGAAGCGGTACCGATAACGCTGCTCATCCTGGAGAGTTCCCGTCGCCTCGGCTGGATGTTCTTCGAAATTCCGGTCAGGACGCACCCTGAGAGAGGTGCAGGGAGTAATTAACCCCCACCTGGGCCTCCTTGAGACCCTGGGGCTGGGCCGAAGAGCTTTGGCTCCCGATAGTGAGGGTGCCTCACAAAAAGAGACACCGATCATGTACCACCACCCCACCTGCCCCCCCCTTCTCTGGGGACGGGGGCCAGGCGAGGGTGTCCTTTCGCTCCCCGAACGGTGCACCTCGGCTACGCGGCCACGGAGAAGCGGAGGCACCGCGACAGCCAGCAGGTGGCCGACATGAAGCACGCCCAGATCTCCGACGATGTGGGCGGTTTCTTTCGATTGCTGTCCTTAAGGGGTAGTTTCCGGAGCCCGGGACCATCAGAAGCGGATCCGGGGCGGGAAACTACCCCTGGGAAAGGGGTCGAGAGCTCTGAGACCGCGGATATGAAGAGAAACGCATCTGCGGATATCTGGGATAATGGGTCCTGAGGGAAGCGGATCCTCCTTCTGCTGCTTATTGTTGGCCTTCCCTTCACTGGCCTCGGCACTGTCCGAAAACGGCTCACGACTGCAAGCTCGCCCTGGGGGAAAGCCCTAGGGGTCCAGGACCGGTGTCCTTCCAGACCCACTTGCTTCATACCAAAGATATTCCGTGGCGCGGTGTGCGAGGCCCTTCTCACCGGCCGCCCCTTCACGCTGGTGTTCGGGGATCCCTCCGGCCAGCCCGCCGCCGGGGAGGATGAGCCGGAAGTGCCGTCGGAGTGGAGCCTTGACGCCTTCTTCGACCGGCTCTCCCTCCCGCCGGACGTTTTCGACCTGCAGCACTTCCACAACTCCGGCGACGCCGACCTCTTCCTGCCTCCGGAGAAGCGGGGCTGGCGGAAGGGCTTGGAGCTCGAGGTGGAGGCCAGCACCGCGGGCGAGGGCGCCACGGCCGCCGAGGTCGCGGGCGAGGGCGCCACGACGGCCGCCGAAGGGGCGCCTGGCGGCGAGATGCGAGCGCCCACGATGGCGCCCGCCACAGTGCACTTCCTGAACGCGGCGCTCGTCAGCCTGACGCCGCTGCGGGACATCGACCCTGACGCGGTCCGGCTGCGCCTCTGCCGCCGCTTCGAGAGGCACCTGCCGCTACACCGCGTCGCCGCGGTGGTGGTGACCGGGCCGCGCTGAGGGTCCGGCCGCCATGGCGGTCGCCCGTTCGGAGTGGCCGCGGCTTCCCCTCGTTGCCCCTGCTGCTGCTCCTGCTTCTCCTCTGCCGAGGCTGGGGGAGGCAATGCACGTCGGCTGAGCCAGCGGCGTTCTTGGGAAGCCCGCCAGCGCACGCCCTCGTTCTGCCCAATGGCTGCCCTGACCCTGGGTGTAGACCACGGCGGACGCTTGCGACCAGTATGCTTCCCAGGGTGGTGGCGCCAGGAAGCCGGGCCCACGAACGGGGTTAAGGCGCCCCGAGGCCATCACAAGCCCTCTCCCGCCAGAAGTGTTGAGGCTTTCGATCGTCGATCCTCGTGGGCAAAACTTGGCACCCCCAGGTGGTGTGCGTGAAGCGTGTCCGACGGGTGCAGCTCCCGCTGCTCCTCTCGGTGCTCCTTCCGACGGGTACAGCCCCCGCCGCTCCTCCTGGTGCTCCTCCTCATTCTACCTCCTCGGCCTTTTGGCGATGATCAACTGTAGCATCTGTTCTCACCAGTGTGCTGGGACGCTGGCTCCTCCGCTTCCTCCTCCTCCTGCGCTGCTTGTCTTTGTCTTCCTCCGTGGCGAGGCGCCAAGGGGTGGTCGACGCTTGGCCTCCGCCGCCCGCGCCGGGCGGCTTCCTCGGGGCCGCGCGTGGAAGAGTTCTGCGAGGGGAGGGGGAGGGGAAGGACGAGAGCACGAGAAGGAGACGACGAGGACAGGGAGGCGTAAGGGGAAGACACGTGGATTAGCGACCGGTTCCGTTTCCATGCTGAATCCGCGCGCTCCGCCACCAAGTCGGTTGACACTGGCGCCATGTTTCGTGGGTACCTCCCCGATCCATGGATCTGGCGCCCACGTGCTCGATCCACGCATATCCCTGATTTATGTTGGCGTGCGCCTGTGTGGGGGGGGCGGGAATGACGACGAGGACGGCGGTGGTCAGGGCGACGGCGACGACGGCGCGTACGGCGGCGGCGACGACCGTGCAGAGGCCGGGCGCGGCCGACGGGGGCGGCCGCCGCTGCCCGCGGACGCGCGCGAGCCGCGGGTGCATCTGCCCGCGGGCCCCAGTGCTGCGCCTGGCGCCCACTCCTCGAGGCACAGGGGAGCGGGGGGAGATACAGGGAGGGATAGGAACGGGGCGGGAGACATCGACCCCCAATCGCCCATTGATCGCCGATAGGGGCCCGATAGCCCCAAGCTGCCCAGGAAGGTGCGGATTCACTATCGGGGGCATGTCGCCGACCTAAAGGTGATGTATTGCCAGTTCCAGGTCGATGTGTTCCCCCCATGCCAGCCCCCCCGTACCGTTGCCCCTCGGACTCGAGAGAACGCGTTTGTGTGCCCCGTTGGATCACGATTAGTGTGGCCTCGAGTGCGGCAACGTAGGGGGGGGGGCTGCAGGCAGGGCCCCGAACCACCCCCCCACGACGACAAATGACGAGCCTCTTGGGGCCTCTGTAGAGCTCCGTGGGACCTCTGGAGAGCTGCTTGGGCCCTCTGTAGAGCCTGTGGAGCTCCTTCGGGCCTCTCTAGAGCTCATTCAGGCCTCTTTAAAGATTCTTGGGGCCTCTGTGGAGCTTCTTGGGGCCTCTGTGGAGCTCATTGGGGCATCTGGAGGCTTTCTTTGGCCAGTTTCGGGCCCTCTTGGGTCCCTCTGGGCCGTGTTGGGGTCGTCCTAGAGGCCCCTTGGGCCATCTTGAAGCCCTCTTGGGCCGTCGTGGGGCCGTCTTGGAGGCCTCTTAGGCCATCCTGAGCCGACGGAAGCCCGACAAGGCGAGAATGCCGACTGCTACCATATCCAGTGTCATTGGTACTGCTGCTGCTACTGCTACTACTACTATAACGAGTATGACTACTACGACAACTTCTATTATTTTCTCAACGGCATTCTCACGATCCTTCTTCGTACCAGCATTGATATTATTATGATTATTACTTCTACGACGACGACGACGACGACGACGACGACTACTACTACTACTACTACTATTACTACTACTACGACTGTTAAGACGACTACTATTACTTTTACGACGACGACGACTACCACCACCACTACTACTACTACTACTACTACTACTACTACTATAACTATAACTGTAACTATAACTACTACTACTACTACTACTACTACTACTACTACTACTACTACTACTACTACGACTACTTCTACTACTACTGCTGCTGCTGCTACTACTACTACTACTACTACTACTACTACTACTACTACTACTACTACTACTACTACTACTACTACTACTACTACTACTACTACTACTACTACTACTACTACTACTACTACTACTACTACTACTACTACTACTACTACTACTACTACTACTACTACTACTTACTACTACTACTACTACTACTACTACTACTACTACTACTACTACTACTACTACTACTACTTACTACTACCACTACTACTACTACTAACTACTACTACTACTACTACTACTACTACTACTACTACTACTACTACTACTACTACTACTACTACTACTACTACTACTACTACTACTACTACTACTACTACTACTACTACTACTACTACTACTACTACTACGACTACGACTACTACTACTACTACTACTACTACTACTACTACTACTACTACTACTACTACTACTACTACTACTACTACTACTACTACTACTACTACTACTACTACTACTACTACTACTACTACTACTACTACTACTACTACTACTACTACTACTACTACTACTACTACTACTACTACTACTACGACTACTACTACTACTACTACTACTACTACTACTACTACTACTACTACTACTACTACTACTACTACTACTACTACTACTACTACTTACTACTACTACTACTACTACTACTACTACTACTACTACTACTACTACTACTACTACTACTACTACTACTACTACTACTACTACTACTACTATGACTGTCACTGCCACCGCCACTGCCACACCCAGTTCCATAATCAATGGTGCCAAACTGCTTTCAACACACATCAAGATGGGTGTTTTTGTTGTGGCTTTTTCCTGGACGGGAGCGCAATCCTTTAAGAGTTACCCAGAGGTCCTCGGCACGGCTAACGGAGCAGTGTGGGCTACAGTAACACCCTTCCGGCCGCGCGCCGGGCCACACAAACGCACATCAGGCCACACAAACACCCAGCATGACACAAAACACGCGGTCGCGGGAAGACTTCTGAGGAGCCTGTTTCTTTTTCTTCTTCTTCTTATTATTATTATTCTTCTTCTTCTTTCGCGCCTGCTTCTTCTCCTTCGGCCGAATCCAGAGCTCCAGGGGACGCAAGCTGGTTCGACATCCCGGCTAACCCATTCTAGGTTCACCGCAGAACACGGCAGAGTGCAGCGCAATTTGTCACGTCTGCCCCTGAGAAGGAAGGAGTGCCCCGGAGGACCGCGGTGAGGCGAGGGAGGAAGTCGCCAGCGTCCCCGCCACCCCGCGGGCTAGCGGCGCGCTTGGGCGCGCGGACTGAGGCACGAGGCAGCCGAAGATAAGGCAGAAGAAGCCGAGCGAGCAGGCAGGCGGCTAGGCCCGCCAGGACGGTGGTCACTGCGCCCGCACCCACGACAACGACCGAGAGTCGGTGGGATCGACATGGGTGCGTGCGGAAAGAATAGGCACGAAAACCGACAGCATTTCCTGCTCATTTTGGACAGGGCTCGCAGTCGGGGTCGACGCGGGCGTTGTCCATTTGAGACAGAAGGCCGCCTGCCCAACAGCGGCCGCTGTCGGTTTTGAACAACATTTGTCGTTCGGCATCGTGCCCATTTTTTCCGTACCAGTTGAGGCGTCCAGTGACAAGAGTGAGGGCGAGAAGGGGAGGGCGGGAAGAGGCAGGAGAGGGAGGGAGGAGAGAGGGAGGGAGGGAGGGAGGGAGGGAGGGGAAGATGAAGGGAGGAGCAGGGTCGAGGGAGACGGGGAGGGCCGATTGCAGTCTTGGAGCTATCGCATCGCTTGTGGCTGCAACCCCAAAGCTCGACGCTGTTACCGTCGACGTCGGGCCCTGGGGGGATGATGCCTTAGAAGCAGAATCGGAGGCATGCGCGCAACTAGCGAGAACACGGGGTTGTCCTCGCGCTCTCCGCTGGCTTGGGTGGGGGGGGCAGGGTCAGCGAGCCTGTTTGGCCAGAGGGGAGAGGGGGGAGCCTGCAAGAAGTGCAGGTCGTGCGCCCCTTGCTTTGAGGTCAATATTCGGCCTGGCGCGCCTGCTTGCGTCTCTGAGGGCCCCGGGAGTGCCGAAAGTTGCGACATCGAGCGGCGGGGAAGAGTGCAGGACGAGGCTTCGCAAGACGGGGCGTGGCGTGGGGCGGGGATTCCAGAAAGAGAGAGAGAGAGAGAGAGAGAGAGAGAGAGAGAGAGCGAGAGAGAGAGAGAGAGAGCACTACGGCAAGACAGAGAGGGGGTGCTGGGGTCTGAGCGAGGTGCTCCAGGGGACGTCGTGCGAGCGGCGGCCCAAGACCCCAGCCCCCTCGGGGCGCCCGCTCTCCGGCTTCGCGTCTCCCGCGCGAGTGCGGAAGGGCGGCCGCCCCGGCTGCCCCGCGGGCCCTCGGCATGAAGCGGCCGTGGCCGGGGCAGCCCGTGGTGGTGGCGCCCCGGCCGAGGCTGGCCTCGCAGGCGGCGCAGCAGCAGGTGCAGGAGCTCGCGCAGGCCCCAGCGGCATGGGAGCCGGTGCGGCAGCTGGCGGTGCAGCAGCAGGCGTGGCAGCCGATGCCGCAGCCGCTGGCGCAGCACCCGATGCAGCAGCAAGCGCAGAGGGGAGCTCTCAAGCGCTCGTGGTCCCCGTAGTGCCAGTTTCACACCTCTCGATGCCAAGGCCATCCGTGGGCGCCGACCCGGGGGGAAAGTGTTCCGAGGCTTCAGAGCTACGAGCCTGCAAGGCAATATTGGAGCACATGCGCGTTTTTGCTGTCTTTGAGCGGCGGGTTCTTCACGCGATCCCCAAACAGGTTTTAGACCACTCAGCCTTTTCCAGGGTGACGAGCATAGCAACCCAGAAAGTGCGTGCACTTCTTCGCCCACCGCAATCCTATGGAAGCGCACGCCTGTATGATTTCGATCGGCGGCGCGCACGCGCGGCGCTGAGAGCGTCCGCAGTTTCGATGCACATCTGAACACGGAGCTCTTAAGCAGAAGCCAGGAAGCCAGGCGGGGATTTCCTCCAATTTGCTGCTAAACCCTCTGCTTGCTGTGCGTCCCTGGGAAGGACAGCTCACCCCGAGAGGTTTAACAGCCCCCTCCCCGTCCGACGGCCCTTTCCAGCCCCCCACCTCACGCGCATAGAATCCACACCAATATGCGATGCAACCGCCTTACGCTCCACGCAAGGCGGCCGATCTCGGCGCCCCCCCCCGAGATCCCACATCCCACGCTGATTGAACAATTCGGAGCAAGCTTGTGAGCATCGCGCTTTTGGAGTCCAGGTAATCGAGCGCCGTGTATGAGGAAGAAGACGACGAGGATGATGATGATGATGATGATGCTGATGCTGATGCTGCTGCTGCTGATGATGTTGATGATGATGATGATGATGATGATTATGATTATGATTATGATGATGATGATGCTGATGATGCTGATGGTGGTGATGATGATGATCCTGGTGGTGATGATGATGATGCTGATGATGCTGCTGATGACGTTGATGTTGATGTTGATGTTGATGTTGATGTTGATGTTGATGTTGATGATGATGATGATGATGATGATGATGATGATGATGATGATGATGATGATGATGATGATGATGATGATGGTGATGGTGGTGGTGGTGGTGGTCGTGGTGGTGGTGGTGGTGGTGGTGGTCGTGGTGGTGGTGGTGGTGGTGGTGGTGAGGAGGAGGAGGAGGAGGAGGAGGAGGAGCTGTAGCGGGCCTTCCTTCCTCGAGCCAGGTCCCCCTGTTTTCTTCTCTCTCCGGGCCGTCCTTCTTCTGTTGTTTTTTCTTATTTATAGCTTTTGTTCCACCGCCCCCTCAGCGGTGACGGCGTCTGGGGGGGACTGAGAGCTGCGCCTCATGAATGTATCCGAACCCGCAGCATCGAGTATCGAGGAGGAGGAGGAGGAGGAGGAGGAGGAGGAGGAGGAGGAGCTGGAGCGGAGCAGGATATCAGAACCGCCATTTGGAGCGAGAGATCGTGATCCACCGCCGCTTTCCTGTGAAAAGTTCCCCCCCTCTTCCTCCAAAACCGGGGGGTCCCCCCCCTCCGAAAATTTCCCCCCTGCTCGAACCCCCCCCCCGCTTTTCCTCCGGCAAAACCCCTTTCCCCCCTAACCCCTCCCCCCCCCTCCGGAAAACCGGGGGGGGGCCCACTACTGGTTCGAACCTCTCCCCCCTCTCCCCCTCCCGGAAAACCCGGGGGGGTCACTACCGGTTCGAACCCCCCAACCCACCCCCCACTCGCCGCCGGCAAGCGACTCCCGGGTCCCCACCACCGCCCTCACCGCTGTCCCCAGCACCACCGTCCCCACCACCACTGTCCCACAGCCCCCACCTGTCCCACTGTTCCCACTGTTCCCGCCGCTGTCCCCACCACTGTCGCACTGTCCCCACCACTGTTCCCACCATGGTCCCACTCTCCCCGCTGTCCCCACTGTCCCCACCACTGTCCCACTGTCCCCACAACCGTCCCACTGTCCCCACTGTCCCCGCCGCTGTCCCACTGAGCTGTCCCACTGTTCCCACCACAGTCCTCAGTGTCCCCACCACTGTCCCCACTGTACCACTGTCCCATTGTCCCACCACCGTCCTCACCACCGCCCTCACCACTGTCCTCACCACCACCGTCCCCACCACTGTCCCCACTGTCACTGTCCCCACCACTGTCCCACTGTCCCCCACTGTCCCCACCACCAAAGTCCCCACCACTGTCCCACTGTCCCCACCACTGTTCCCACCATTGTTCCCACCAGTGCCCCCACCAGTGTCTCACTGTCCCCACCACTGTCCCCACCACTGTCCCCACCACAGTCCGACTCTCCCCATTGTCCCCGCTGTCCCCACCACTGTCCCACTGCCCCCACTGTCCCAACCAGTGTCCCACTGTCCTCACCGCTGTCCCACTGTGCTGTCCCACTGTCCCCACTGTACCACTGTCCCACTGTCCCCACCACTGTCCCCACTGTACCACTGTCCCAATGTCCCACCACCGTCCTCACCGCCCTCACCACTGTCCCCACCACCACCGTCCCCACCACTGTCCAACTGTCCCCACCATTGTCCCACTGTCCCCTCACCACTGTCCTCACCACCACCGTCCCCACCACTGTCCCACTGTCCCCTCACCACTGTCCCACTGTCCCCACACCATTGTCCCCACCACCACCGTCCCCACCGCTGTCCCAGTGTCCCCACCACTATCCCACTGCCCCGTGGAGCGGGAATCGTTTGCCGGCGGCGAAGGGGGGGCGGGGGGGGGGGGTCGAACCGGTAGTGACCCCCCCTCTTTCTTGATGGACTGGGGGGGGGAGGGGGGTTCGAACTGGTAGTGACCCCCTTCGGTTTTCCGCCAGCAGCGGTAGAACACGGTCTTTCTTTGGAGCGGAAGCGGCAGAAGCAGAAGCGCAGGGGCAGGAGCGGCAACAGGCGGAACAGGAGCAGGGGGTGGGGGAGGTTGCCACGCCTGAGGGGCGGCGGCGGGAGTTGTTCAGCAGAACTCTGGGCGCGGACTGTGTGTAGCAGAGCAGGAGCCCGACCATCAGGAGGAGGAGGAGGAGGAGGAGGAGGAGGAGGAGGAGTATTGAATTTGACCTTCGCAAGCATCCTGCTCTTCATTAGGTCTTGACGCTAACCCACGTCGTGGGTTAGCGTCAAGCCCTAGTGCCTTCGAGAAACACGAGAAGCATGCCGCAGAGAGCGAAGAGAGGGACCGCCAGAGGGCCCGAAAGCGAAACGAGGCGAGTGCCCGAAGAGGCTGGGGGAGGAGCAGCAGGAGGAGGCGGCGTCTGACCTACGGGTGTCGGCGGTGGTGTGGCAGACCCTCGGGCCTCGTTCAGCTCGAGCACTCGGCACGAAAGGGCCCTCCCCCGTTCCCACGCTTCCCTCTGCGCCTCTGTTGACCGCGCTCGCCTGCGGAGGGCGCTGGCACCTGCCCCCCGGTCCAGGAGTCCAGGGTGCCGGCGCACAGGGGGGGCTTCTCGAGAGCGGAGGGCGCCCCCCTCTGGCCAGAGCACCATCTCGGGGCTCGCGCGCAGCAGCCTGCGGCGCTGGAGGGCCCGGGGCCAGGCCGCACGGGGGCGGTGCTGGCCCCGCCGACCCGCACGGGGGCGGTGCTGGCCGCGCCGAGCGGCTTCGCGCTACCGCCCTGGCTGAGGAAGCCCGTCGCGGACCCCGTCGCGACGGCCAGCGCGGCGGAGGCCCTGAGCAAGGCCGCGGAGAAGGCGCTGTCGGCGAGGGGGGCGCCCAGGATGGAGGGCGAGTCGACGATCTGCACCTTCGGCTTCGCCTGCAGGCGAATAGACTGCTGGTGGTCGGGGGGGAGCCCTCCTGCCCTACCCCCCCACTCATCTGCCTTCCTGCTCCCCCTTCTCTCAATTCCCCCCTGGAGGCGACAGACCCGACATGCTAGCCATCCTCCTCCTCCAAGTCTGGTGCGTAATTTGATGAATGATGGAAGGCCTCATACCTCATACTGCCATCTTGATGAATGGGAGGATGGATCGTGCCTGAAGCAGCGGTTGCGTTAGACAGCAGCGCGAACCTCAGGTGCCTGTTCCACAGACAACCCCCAAACTTGACGATGCAGATGACTGTGTGTATATGTGTTTCTTCTTGCCTCGAGGTCGGGAGGATCTGGTGCGCGAGTACTCGGACCAGAGGTGTATTGCGACCCTGCTGATTCAATCGTACATCCAAAGCGGGGCCGTTTCTCCTTTAATAGGCGAATGGCAAGTCGGTGTGTCCTGCTGCGTTGCCCAGAGCAACCGTACTTGTGTCCTTGATGGCTGGTTTGAGAAAGCCTCCCTTCAATATGGCGCTGGGTGAATCTCCTTGTGCTTACACCATCGGGGATGCATCCTGCACGTCGGGCGTCTGGCCAAGCGAGGACAACCACGACCAGACGATCAGCTCAACATCGATTGATCATCTCTTTCGTTCGGCTGTCTCGTCTGGGTCTTTACGGTCTGGAGCTTTGGTTCAGCGTGTCGCGCCGCCGGATTTGGCCCACCACGCTTCGGCGCGACACGCTGACCACGTCCCAGGCCCTAGGCATCAACGTCCCGAGCTTTTCCCAGCCTCCTGTCCCGCGGAGCGGAGCGATACGCTCTCTGCTTGCAGGGCATGGCGCGTCGCTCGGGCCGCCGCCGCGACACGCGAAGCACAAGTTCCTGACCGCGCAGCGGGCCATAAACGCGCGAGCACGCATCGCCTACCTCATCAACGGCAATCTGGCTCTTATTGGTCTAGAGATGCGGCTGTATCGCGATCGCTGCCGACGACGGCACGTTAGAATTACACGCATTACCCGAAAGTCTCCCCTGGGCTGAGATGTCTTCAGCCTCGAAGCCACGACCATCATGTGCGCGCAGCCTTCGCCAAATATGTAGTTTCTGAATCAAGCGGATGGATCATCCTGCTCTTCTAAGTTCCAGAAAGTACAACCAGAGCAAAGAACGTACAGTGCTCTCAGGTACGCTGGATTGCTTCACGCGTGCACGCGCACGATTGGATGCTACTGCTTTGCCGCCAACGCCGCACGACCCAACAATACGTGTGGGCAGTATCAGGGCTGTGTGATTGGAAGCGCGGGGCCCACAAACCAAGGATATCATCATAACCCAGAAGTCAAAACATTCAGCATGCACCAAACAGGCCTGATTGTGCTCTCTGCTCCGACGTCAAAGGAAACGAGTCCTCGGAGTTTGTCCTGGTGAGGTCGCTGGAATACGCCTTGCAGGGCACTTACGACACGTTGAAGGGATCGTCGCCGCGACTTCCTCCGATTAGGCCACTTTCAACGCCAGCTCGCCCCCTGAGCCAGACAGCAAAGGGATGGTGCGGGAATTCATGCTTCGCGCGGTCAGGAAGAAATTTAAAGAAACGGGCAGCCGACAGGCCGATCACTGGAACGCCTTCCCGATGGATGGCACGCGGTCGGGAACTTTTGGCTAGCGTGTCGCTCTGCCGGTCCTGGCCCACCGCGCTTGGGCGCGACACGCTGTCCATGTTCCAGTCCTCAAGCGATACAGTCCTAGCCCGCGGAACGGATCGATGCGCTATCCACCCGTAAGACATAGCGTGTCGCCAGGGCCGCCGCCGCGACACTCTAAGCAAAAGTTCCCGACCGTAATGCATACCCGAAGCGACACACCCTTATGAACCACAAGTGCAAGTCGCGGTTGAAGACAGCGTCAAGCGGACACTCCGAACAATTGCAAATTGCAGACCAGAGCCACAAAGATGTAAATAGTCTGCCCTGCTGCCCAGCCGCAACGCAGGAAGGCAGGCCGTGACGGGCATGCCCATGTTTCGAGTCGTGGAGCGCTCTCGAGGCTCCAGGCAGGCTCTCCTGTGTCGCGCCGATGCATCTCCGACGTCGCAGGTGCATCGCCGATGTATTTGCGATGCACCGGCGATGCGGCACGATCCTCCGACCTTCTCAACTCTGGCCCCACTGGTGGCTTCCGGTAGCAGCGACACCGCAACGACCTTGCACGCTTGCCTATCACCAGTGTTCCTCAACACACGTTTCCCGACAAGGTTTCCTTTCGGGGACTATCCGCTAATATTGGAATGATGCAGATAAGATTGGTATGGTTCCAGCGCAAGGATGAGACGCACACATCGAGAAGTGTGCAACACATTTGACTGGTGCCGTGTTTGCGGTGAAAAAGCGGCACCTTCCATCGCAGCAGTGGCAGGCGTGGTTCGCTGTTAAATCCGGCGCTCACCTTTACGATTTTCTGTCTGCGCAGCTGAGGTCCTGCAAGCGCGGCCACGCGTGATGCGTGAGCAAGCGGATCGCGCGCCCGATTATTTTGTCCTGCGCCCCTTAACGGGTACCCGACAATGGAGGTGATATGCCGCGGGCAAGGCTGCTTCTTATTTGGGCCTGTGTGATCAATGCTTTTCTCTCTCCCCCCTCATCCTTCTCGTCCTCTCTCCTGCATCCCACCCCCCTCCACCACGAAGGTGGGTGCACCCACAGGGCCGGCAGATCGACGCGAACCCTGGCCTATCAGTCTGCAGATACGGGGTCGACTGCCCGAACAAAAGGTGGGCGCGGCCTCTACTTTTCTTGCTCCTGATCATGCTCCTGCTCCCTCTGCTGCATCAGCTGTACGGTCTGCTTCGCCACCAGATTGGCTCTGGCCCCGGTCATGTGATGCGCTGTTTCAGGATAGCAGTCGCTCGCCCGGGCATATGGTCTTGAGCGTCGCCTCTTGCAGCGACGTTCGCTCCTGCTTCCTCTGTTGCTGCTCATTCTTGTGATCCTCCCTGCTCGTTCTCATCCTCCTGCTCTTGATCCCGCTGCCGCTCATTCTCCTGCTCCTGCTTGTCGACGTCGTCGTTCTTCCCCTCCCGCTTTTCCTCCCGTTTCGCTCATTGTTTCTCCTTCCTCCCCCTCCCGCCAGCTGAAGGCGGAGCTCGAACAGTACCGTGCCACATTCAAGGTGAAAGATTCGGACTAGAAGAAGCTCGTCGAGCGCGACAAGAACGCCCACGCCAGCGTGCAGGACTGCATGAAGAAGAAAAGAAGAAGCGGAAGGGCAAGGACGGCCAGTCGTCGGCGCCAGCCCCTGAGGCTGACGCCAATGGTTCTGGAAGAGGGGCTGCGGCCAAGGGCCCAGCAACCAGCGCTGCTGGCTCTGCTTCGGCCAGTGCCGCCGACGGCCAAATAGAGGAGGCTCGGACTCAAGAGCGCAAGCAGGCAGCCACCCGCCTATCGCAGGATAAGTTCAAGGCGCAGGAGGCACTTGACATGGCCACCAGAGGTATCGGCAAGGGCGCGATCCTCAAGAAGGCAGGCGTCATCGAACGGTTATGGGTTGCAGCCACATCCTCGTCGAGCGGGACATCGCAGAAGTCGGGAACCAACGCTTCTATTGGAACTACCAGTGCAGGGGTCAGCATTACATTCGGGAGTCTGTCGTTTTCCTGTTCGGGGAACCCCACGTCTCCGAACGCATATCCACCATCCGTACGACTTCAGTTCCGTCTGATGCTGAGGCCGCCACTCAGGGTACACAGGGTGAGAAATCATCATTCCGATTCTTCTGTCGTAGCAGTTGCATGGGCGACAAAATTGGGGGCATGTTCAACACGTGCAGCAGCACTGTTTCGATTACATTCGAATGTCGCATCATGGAATGGCCTCAGCATTTGTGGTTACAGGCGAGAGATCGCTCTTCCAACAGTTTGACCAGCAGTGCTCGGCCCAAGGCGAAGTGGCTCGTTGTGCAGGCTTCCCAGCCATGTGAAGGTGGTGAAATGTTGCCTGTCCGAAAAATCAGCTTGCCATCAAGATTCTAGATGAGCCAACCAGAGCGGCCAACGGGTTGATTGCCGAACGAGGGTGGGTGGGCCCTTGTCGATTTCCTTTCAGCGCCCATTCATTTCAAAGCCTTCTCGCTTGCGTGCGTTACATCTTGCGGGCATTCATCGAGCGGGTTCCGCAATCAGAACGTGGCTCGATTTCGTTAGGTTGCTTGTCTTCTGCTTGTGCTCCAGTTGCCGTGGATCGTCGCACTTGGTTTTTACTTCCACTGCTCCGGTAAAACACATGACTCCTCGAGCGCACAGGGGGGGGTGATTTTAACGAGCTAGGCTGGGTCCACTTGCGCGCCTGAGGGGGTGGGGTCAGAAACCCTCCCAATCTCGATTACCTGCTCGTTTCCGTGGCGGCGCGGCCATGTGCTCGAGCTGCGCGCGCCGTCTGCGATTTGCATTGGAGGCCCCGCGTCGGCCTCGGCGTTGAGTTGGTGGCTTCTGGGGATAGCTCTTCGCCGGGCTTCTTGAGTTGCGCCCGACATTGCCCCGGGCCCCCCGGCCCGAGAAGAAGGCCGCCGAGGGGTCGAAGTCTTCATTTAGAATTCAAAAGTAGCGTTTGATTTGGCAGCGTGGCCTCCACAAGCCCAATGCTAGGATATCCGAGCGGCGCGGGGGGGAGGGGGAAGGTGACTTGCAGGGCGAGGAAGGCAGGGCGATGAGGCAAATGATGACGCCTTGTCTCATGGAGAGCACGACTCCGACTGGGGCGGCATCTCCGAGTGAGACCCGCGGGCCAACGAGCCCAATGTGGGAGTTGCTGCGCCGCCCTGTGCCCTGCCAGCTCCTTCTGTCAATTCGCCCCCCGTTGCGCCCCCCAAAGGTAACGCGCCTGCGGCAGAGGCCCAGGAAGAGTCGTTTCCACTCCAGTCGGCGAGCTCAGGGCCCCCCGAGATAGTTCTCCGTGTCCGGGGAAACGTGGGTGACCGCCGCGAGAAATATCGGCGTCTCTCCGAACTCGCCCTGTCTCCCCGATGGTGCTGCCACGTCCGCCGTGGGATCTCGGCTCAGCGCCCAGTTTTCCCCATGCGTCAGCGCGCGCCATTGCAGCTGGGCGCGATCAGCCAAGGGGGGGGGGGGGGGGGGGCAGCGCGCGCGCGTCATCGGCGGCCGGCGCCCGCCCTCTCGCGAGGGCGAGCGCCGCAGTTCGTTGCGCTGCGGCCCAGCAGTCTACGCCTCAACGCGCGGCGGCGCTGCGCGGCGGGGCCAGTGCTTGGCGGGCGCAGCCGTCGACGATTGCGCACAGCCACCACAAGCACAAGAGACCCGCTCACGGGAGCAAGCAGCAGGGCGCCCTTCCCCGGGCGCGAGGGCGCCCATCTCCAAAGGTGCTGACCGAATGCCGCAGTTCACTGCGGAAGCGCGATTATTTCCAGCGGGCAGCGCGGCGCCATTTCGCGCACGCCCTGGGCGGGAAAAAGACGCGGCGTCGACCGTTGGACGCCGTTGGATTCGGCTCTGTTGGCGGGATAGCCAGTCGGAGCCACCAGCGGCCCACGTCGCAATTGGGGGAGTGGCAGGGGGCGGCGCCGGCAGTCAGGGGGTCGACGAAGTCGAGGTGAACCATCGCGCCTTGATCCACCCCAGGGCCATCTTGGAACTTAGGGAACAAAGCGTTGGGGGCAACTGCGGGGCCCGCTTGGCCGGGGCCTCGCGCGCCGCGAGGGGCTGTTTGCTGACGTGCGCAGTCGCGCGCGTGACGCCGCCCTTCCTGCCCTGCAGGTGGGCGACACTCGACGAGCCCCGCGTCGCGCGGAGCCATCTTCTGTTGTGGGAGTTGGCAGGTCGTGCAGTTTAGAGGTCGACAGGTTGCCGTCAATTGCCATCGCCGAAATGGCCTCAAGCATGTGTCTTTGTGGGTGGTATCAAGTCTGGCCACGTCGGATATCGCTGGCAAGTGGGGCTCTGTTGCCAAAGAAAAGCAATGGGGGCCGACGTGCTAAGTGGGGTTGTGGTTTTCGTGGCGCCCGCGTCGCGCCCGCGCGTCCTCGCGCGCGCCCCCCCCCCCCTCCCCCCCCCCTCCTCCTCCGCCTCCTCCTCCTCCTCCTCCTCCTTCTCCTCCTTCTCCTCCTCCTCCTCCTCTTCCGCCTCTTCCTCCTCCCCCTCCTCCTCCTCCTCGTCATCCCCCTCCTCTTCCTCCTCCTCCTCCTCCTCCTCCTCCTCCTCCTCCTCCCCCCCCCTCCCCCCCCCCCCCCTTCCTCGCCTCGGCCGCGCGCGACGCGCGGGGGGCGCGCGCGCGCGCCGTGCAACGACGGCGCGCACGCAGCGTTCTCAATGCGTCATGCGCCCAAGACGCACGCGCCACATTGGGCGCTCTCGCGAGACGCCCGCCCGCGCGCAGCCTCGCGCGCAACGCGCGCGCGCGACGCGCAGACGCAGACCCACTCAACCACGTGACGCGCGCCCCCCACGCAGCGCGCGCGCCAGATCCGCCAGGCGCGGCAGGCGCGGCGCTCTGTCGACACCAAGGCAGGGCGCGCCAGGCGCGGCGCCTGCTGGGCGCTTGAGAGGGCGCGCAAGGGGCTATAAGTGCAGCCTCTACGCGGGCCATGGCGCACAGGGCGCGGCAGGCGCGACATTTTTTCGACGCCGGAGGGCGCGGGCGGGCGGTGGTCGAGGCGGGCCATGGCGCAGGGCGTAGAAGGCGTGGCATTTGTTCGACACCCGTGGGGGCGCGCAGGGGGCGATCCCAGCGCGCGGTCTGCGCGCGGGCCATGGCGCAGGGCACGGCGGGCGCCGGCACTTTCTCGACGGTGGCGCGCGGGCCGCGGTCCTTGAGAGTGGCCTCCATGAGGACCGCGGCGCGGGGCGCGGCGCGCATGGCCTGTCTGGGCGCCGGGGTGGCGCGCGCCAGGGGTGGTCCCTGAGCGCGACCTCTACGCGGGCCATGGCGCAGGGCGCGGCGGGCGCGGCGCTTTCACCGCGCCAGAGGGGGCGCGCGGGCGCTGCCCCCTGAGCGTTGCCCTTGCGCGGGCTGATGCGCGGGGCGCGGGCGGCAGGCGTGGCATTTTCTCCGCGCCGGGGGGGGCGCGCAAGAGTGGCCCCTCTGCGCGGTCTCTATGCGGGCCACGGCGCAGGGCGCGGCGCGCCGTGAGTTTCTCGACGCCCGAGGAGGCGCGCAGGGGGTGGTCCCCGCGAGCGGCCTCCTGCGCGGGCCGCGGCGCAAGGCGCGGCAAGCGCGGCGCTTTCTCCGCGCCAGAGGGGGCGTGTCAGGGGTGGCCCCTGAGCGCGGCGTTCATGTGGGCCATGGAGCGGGGCGCGGCAGGCGCGGCATTTTCTCCGCGCCAGAGGTGGCGTGCCAGGGGCGGTCCCTGGGCGCGGTCTCAATGCGGGCCATGGCGCAGGGCGCGGCAGGCGCGGCATTCTCTCGGCCCCCAAGGGGGCGTGAAGGCATGGTGCCTGAACGCGACGTCAAAGCGGGCCCCGGCGCAGGGCTCGGCTGGCGCTGCGGATTCTCGATGCGCGAGGGGGCGCTCAGAGCGTGGTCCCTGAGCGCGGCCTCTACGCGGGCCACGGCGCAGGGCGCGGCAAGCGCGGCACTTTCTGGGCGCGAGAGGGGGGCGCAACGAATGGTCCCTGAGCGCGGCGCCTACGCGGCCACGGCGCAGGGCACGGCGGGTGCGGCGCTTCCTGACGCCAGAGGGGTCGCGCCAGGGGCGGCCCCTGAGCGCGGCTTCTCTGCGGGCCATGGCGCGGGGCGTGGCCGGCGCGGCAATATCTCCAAAGCAGGATTGTACTCGCTTTGGAACGCGCAAGCGCTCGTGGCTCTTGCGCCGCGCCGCCAGGGTCTCTGCGCCGGCGCGGCGGAAGTTTGTCCAGCGGGGTGCCGCCCGAGCGCGCTTTCCCGAGCTGCCGCCTCCGCGCTTGCAGCTGAAGAATTCCACGGCGCGTTGGGCGACGCGTAGGGGAACGTTCGCGACGAGGGCGCGAGGGCTCAGAGCGAAGGATTGCGCAGATATGAAAACATCATCAGCGAACACATGAGACTTAAACGAAGTACGCGGGTTCCTCGATGGCGAAGTTTCAGCATTTCCTCGCGCGCCTGGTCGCGCGCGAGGGGGGCCACCGAAAGTCGCTGGCCGACCAGCGCGAGGCGCGCTGGGGCGCTGCCATCCGAGAGAACGCAGCGCTCCGCGAGGTCGCCCTCGAAGGTGCGGGCGAAGAGCTCGCCGTTCGCCCCGGGGCAGCGCGCGGACATGGTTCGGTAAATCTTTCATCAGAGGTTGGGGGGTGAGATCGGAGTGAAGCGGAGACCCCCCGCTGGGAAATCGGTTTCGGTTTCGCGTTCGTGTCGTGCGTGCGGGCGAGGCGAAGCTGCGCGTGATCCTCCTGTAGCTAGGCCGAAGTAGGAGCGAAAGTCCGTTCCCGTCTGCCGGTGGCTGGGAGGTGTCCCAGTTGGGCCGGGCGGTGTCCGGGGTGTGCCGGGTGTCAGTAGGAGCGAGTCCGTTTCCCGTCCGCCGGTGGCCGGGAGGCGCCCCAGTTGGGCCGGGCGGTGTCCTGGGTGTACCAGGCGCCCCGGCGCTAACGCATGTCGTTAATTTCAGAGTTCCGTTTTTTTTTGTTTCCGGCGCTTGCGGCGGGCTTTCTGAGCCAATCCAGATCTTATCCAATCCATCTTGTCTAATCCAATCCATCTTGTTTTGTCTTACACATATTGTCCCATCTTATCTGATCCTACCCAATCCAATCCACCCAAACCCAATCCATGAATTAATTTGTTTCTGCGCCTGCGGCGGGACAAGCCAATCCACTTTATATTATGCAATCCCTCTCTTCCAATCCAACCCATCTTATCTGATCCGATCCATCTTATCCCATCCAATCCAATCCACCCAACCCAATCCATCAATCCATTTGTTCGGCGCCTGCGGCGGGCTTTCTTATCAAATCCAGTTTATCTTCTCCTATCCATCCTCCATCTTATCTTATCGACGGATAGGTCGATAGTGGGATCTCATCGCCATCGCGATCATCATTGTGGTGGA